CAGCTTAATAATAATTTCTCATAAAAAATATTTTTTTATATAATACAAAATATTTGTCATTTAACATTGTCAACAAAATATTTTTTAGTTTTAAGGTATAATTAACACTCGAGAAAATTACCTTCATTGTGAAAAATACATTATTTTTAAAATAACAATTTGTAGTAGATAATGGCCCATGAAGAGCTGTATATTCTTGTGAGTGAGAGTCAGCATATTTTCTCCTGGAGGTGGCGTTGTTTCAAATTGTTGCATAAAGCGAGCGAATAACTACTACCATGCCTGACGTTACTCCCACTATAAACTACTACTATTATAACTACTACGACTACTACTATTATTGCTACTGCGACTAACACTACCACTATCACTGCTAATACTATTACTACCCGACGCGCAAAGGAGCAACAGCCTGCAGACAAGAGGTAAAGGACGAGGGTGCAAAGAGGAAGAGAGAGAAAGACGGAGCATGGTATAAAGCGAGATCAATACTCCCGCGTCTTGCGATCATTCATCTTGCCACGCCCCTCCTTGCTCTTCTCTGTCTTCCTCTCTCTTTTCGTCTTCACTTTTTTTAGCTCGTCCTTGTCTCTTTTTTTCTGTTTCTCATTTTCTTGGAGCTCCCTGAATACAGCTATAGTTTTTCCGCTACCTTATCTGTCACACTGCTCACGCTGCTGCAGTCGCTGAAATCGAGCTAAAACTGCTTCCATTTGCGTTTTAGTTATTGAATTCCGTTCTTTTCTTTTCTTTTGTTCTTGCTTGTTTTTGTATAAACTACTGCATTTGGTAGGATTCAACGCTCAATAATTGCTTTCCTAGTAGTACCTTGTAAAGTGCAACCATCAATAAATGTATAAAAGTAAAAAAAATGGGAACATGTAACACTACGAGCCCCAATATAACAAACAAAAACATTATCATCGATTGTATCTTCTTTTGCGCATTGAATACACCAAGATAAAAGTCAGCAAAGGGAAATCGCCTTCCGACAGTATATTAGTGGTGTAGCTGCAATTTGACACGTATCGTGAAATTGGCTGCCTGAGGAGTGTATGCGTAACTCACATAGGGAATCTAAAGCCGTGAATCAGTTCTGGAGCACCTCGTCTCTCGCTCTCTCACCTACATCACAATCGCACGCGTGTATTGCACTTGACTCGTCGTCATTGTCATTGTTGCCGTTGTCGTTGTGGGTCTCTTCAAATGAGTTTCCTGGAGAGACTAAATATGACTTCAAACACACGCGTACTCCAATGCTAACATGTACATTTTGACAATTATTCATATGAATACAATATGCTATTACTTATACAGAACAGTATCTCTTAAAGGCTTTGTTGTAATAGTGACGGGGTAGCAGCTGCTGCAGATAATGCTGATTAAAAAATTGAGTTAAGGGATTAAAAGGATATTCGATTAAGGACGATAATGAATAAAGAAAGAGTTTCGGGCGAAAGTGCTTAGAGAGTAGTCTTGAATAAAAGAAGTCTGTTTTGGACGGATGAGAGTGATAGTGGGTCCACCGTGGGGTCGAATGAGCCGAGTTCATGCTTTGTACATCCCAACTCTTGCATTTATCTCCTTTATTTGTAAAAGAACGATAGGACACACATACACAATTGATTTGTTCAGTTTATGATTGTGAATCAGTGATCTGTAAGATTTTGGAAATGCGCACTGAGAATTATTTACTTTTTTATCTATTAAATAATATCAAGTTTTTGAAAAGCGTGCGAATAACAAACATGCATTTTGATGTAGATTCCATTAGGTATTCACACTGACTTCTAAATCTATACTTCAGCCCTTGTAATTCGCAATCATTAATGAGCAGCTAAGTATTTGTCTTGAGTGTTGTAAAATTGTCCAGTATTTCCGTTTTCCCAACTTAACCATCGAACAAAAAATTCTTTGTTTTATTGACGTTGTTTTAAATTTAAATAGCGTCAAAAAACAATCATACATGCTAGTTCATGATGGCTCTGTCGGTAGCGTGCCTGCCTACAGATATTCATGGTTGTAGTTCAAATCCCACTGTGGACAGAAATTTTCATTTAAAAATATTGGTTTTTTTGGATGGGATTTGAGCTTTAAAAAACTTACCAATTTTATATCCCACCATTTCACCTATTGATATCTAACTAACGCATGGCTAAATACACTGTATGGTGTAAAAATAGCCATGTCTTCATACCCTTGATGAATTAAAAAAAAAAACTTGAATTCAGAAGATATTAACGATCAGCATTGGCTTTTAGTTAGTAGATTGTCGTTATTTCATAACATGATAATTTTAACAGAGTTTCTTAAAAAATTAGTTTTTGTGTAATTAAATCAGTGGATCGCGATAAAAAAATATACCCCGTAAAACTTGCTCTGTTTTCGGAAATGATTTGTTTGAGCACGACTGCTGTGCTGGATCTTGAGCATCCTTGAAGAATAAAAATTCTTTAGAGTGGTCCGTCTGGTAAACGATATTAGCCAAGTTACGTCAGAAGCGCAACAAGAACGTGCTTTCTTTGAGCATGTGCTCACTTACACTCAAGCGTAACTTCTGAGAGCAACTTACGAGGTTCCACATCACCAGAATTTGCCAGGACGTACGTGCTGCTTTGTGAAAGTTACGCTTCACCTTCAAAGGCCATAGCTAATGGTCAAATACAATAAAATTTAAATGGGATACAAAGATTCTGATTCTGTTAAGTTTATTTTTTGATTATATTTTCAACGGTAATGGGTTTTTCAACGAATTATCATTGCGATGTTGCGAAATACTGTGACGGCACCAACGTTGATCTATGTTGTAACACTACATTTAAAAATCTAAAATTTTAGTAATACTAAAAACTCTTTGATAAAATCTCTGCAAAGGATGTAGAAAATTTATTTAAGGATCTTTTTGAATCTGCAGCTTATGACATTATCCATACTTCTAGTCGAATCCATTTTCATCAATTCGTTAACAATAAACAACCAAGTGTTATCTGCTTTCTAAGGTTGTTATAAATATTTTGCGAATAATGACTTGCTTCATAATGAAAATGTTCACTGAAAATAATGTAGAAACCCTTCTATTGTATGTAACTAGATAATCTACTGCATAACTTGAAAATGCCTTAAAATTACGTACACAAGGATGTTTGGCCGAAATTTTTTTTTTCAATAGAGCACATCAATAAATATACATATGTCTAGCAAGAGCTTCGATGGCTTAGTGGTTAGCGTGCTAGCCTCTGATTGTGGGTTTGAATCCCGTCAAAAATTATCAAAATTTTTTTCTTGAGCATTTTTAATTTTTAACTTTTTAATTTTTTGCATTGCAGAAATGGAAGAAGAATATAACAAAGATGCGTACGATAAAAATTATGATGAAAACTATGGAAAAGATTACGAGAGTGCGTACGAGTCAGCAGATGTTGTGGTCACAAACATGCAGAGGGATCCGAGATTGCTTGAGGACGATGGAGTAATCCGCCTTGAAGAGCATGTCACGTCGAACACCTCCTGTGAAAGGTAAAGAATTTTTTTTTTTTCATTTTATCAGCACTAAACTTTCTATTATTAATTTGCGATTGAAATATTTTGAAATTAAAAGTAATGTATAATATTATTAAATATTTTTCATTCAACACAATGAAAATAGACTTTCACTCAGGACTTGGGTCTCTAAGATTTATCAATGTCGAATCCAAAACTCCTAACGAAAAAACCATAAAGTATTATCAAATAACTGTAGTTAACGTAATTAATAAACGGGAAAATTCGTAATTTTAGATGGATTTGTAAAAATGTAATCGTAAATGGTGTCACTTCTCAATTCCAAAAAATTCCAAAAACTACCTTTAGAATGAATATAGGTTAAAGAAAAAATTAAAAGTACCAAAGATAGGTTTATAGGGTTGTCAGAATTTACAAGTGATATTGATTTATAGTGACAAACTGATTCAAGAAACATTTCATTGTATTATGAAAAAGTAAAAAGTTACACAGTCGAATAGGAAATGTTAATTAGAATACTTAAGTTGGTAGATAGAATGTTATTGAAAAAATATTACAGATTATCTTTACCATCGTTAACGGTTAAAATATTTAAACTGAACTTATCATAATGATCGTGCACGATTTAATATTGTTGATACCCATTCAGAATAATAATATTGATCCAAGTAGGTCTCACAGATATTTTTTAAAGAAACAATTTCCTTGCCATTTACGATTGATTTGTAATAAATCATCAAAAAATTTTAAAGTAATTCCTATAGAAAGTATCTTAGTGTATGTTAGATCCTCGCTATTTAAATCCCGTAAAACTGAATGCAAAAGAGTATAAATTTTCAATGTTCTCCCTACAACCTCGTTTATAGGTTCCTAACATAATATACCCGAGCTCAAAGCCATCAAAGTAAATTGGTTTGTCAGTTTACCCACATGCAAGCCCGTGGAAGTGCACACACATCTGAACAAGTCAAAGTTACCATCGTACATGATCGAGCCGTGCAATATATCTTGGCGGTCATTGCACTAGTACCAGCAGCAGACACCGCAAAGAGGGGTCCACAATAACATTAATACTACTGCCACTGCTACTGCTACTTCTACAACTACTACTACTACTACTACTACTACTTCTACTACTACTACTACTACTACTACTACTACTACTACTACTACTACTACTACTATATTTATACTATGAGGACCCTACAATCCGACAGATAGCGTACTGTAGCTAAGAGAAAATCACCTACAAGTATATATGTATACGACTAATATGTATAGATAGACTTGTTGGAGATTTTCTCTTAGCTGCAGTACGCCATCTGTCGAATCGTAGGGCCCTCATAGGAATGAACTGTACTATGTTCTGTCGGTAATGTCGTGAGCTTTCCACATTACTGACCCAGCTTCGCCACCCTGCTGAAAGATTGTGTCAAACCTCCTTAATACATGTGTTTTATAGAGTTCGACTATTAGGTGATAATTCTTATTTCTCTCCCTCTTTCTCTTTCTCATTTTTTGTTTAATTTTATAACATGCTCATACATAACCTCTTGCTACCTTTTTTATGACATACAACTTTAAAGTTGCCACGAAAATTCTCTTGAAAAAACTTCGTTCTATGGCTTTTTTAAGGTCAGTCTGGAGAGAATTGAAGTTTCCTACGTATCGATTAGGTGGATGTAATTTTTTAGCCTTATAAAATTATTTATTAAATATCTAGCTATTTGATGAAAAAAAAGAGGAGTTGACGCACGTTCTTGACAGTTCTAAGAATAATTCAAGCCCAGACTTAGCAAGATTCATTGAAAATTGAAGAAGACAGATGTTGAATCAGCTGTCAAAAGAACGACACATGATCCGATTTTTAGTCTTTCGTTTCCAAATCACAATTCATCTTACTAAAATCAGGCTTTATACATTCTTTAGATCATCAAGAATGTGAGATAACTTCTTTTTTTCATAAATTGCATCAAATAAAGATCATAATAAAATAATATCACTTCCTATTAATTTCTCCCATTAGTTTTCATTAGATTTATCAGCTTCCTACCCTACCGATCTTTGACTTACTACTTTTACTTGCTGTAATTAATTTTTTCTGCTTATTTTCACGCGAACAAAACGAAAAGGTACATTCTTTTAACATCATAGAACAATTCAATATTAATTTTAGTACAATCTACTGAATTATTATAACTTGAATTATTCTTAGAAATATTAAGAATGTGTGTGAACTCCTATTTTTCTTAAAAAATTTCTGGGTATTTAATAAATAATGTTTTAAAGCTAAAAAATTAGATTGACCCTATTGATAAGGTAGGGAACTTCAATTTTCTTCGGACTGCCCTTAAAGAGATCAAATCAGCAGTTAGTTCAATAGAAATCTACTTAGCTGTCAAAATAATATTTTCTGCTGAGGTCATTTTCATTTAAGTGATTTAAGCTCGTTGTTGGCTCAGTTGGTATGCTATGCTAACCGTTGATACAACACAGCTCAAGAGGTCGTGGGTTCGATTCCCGTTTGGGGCACTCAGATTTTTTCTGATAGTCTTTTCCGGTATCCAATTCACGACACCGACTGAAGATTAAGAATTAGTTTTAAGATATATATAAATATATATATATGCGTGTATGTGTGCTCGTGCTACATAGTTTACATATTGCAGACAAAATCTGACTGTAATAGTTGGCCTCCCTTTCCTTGTCCTTTTCCAAAGTGCTGAAGGCCCTAAGTAGTGGACCTTTGTGTATTCGGACGTATGATACTGCAATATAAAAAAAATGGTTAAAATTATACGATAAAATCTCTATTCTACATTCCTTTAGAAAATTTGAACTAAAATATTAATTCATCGAAAGCCACAGTTTTAAACAAACATTTATTGTACCCAGAAAAAACAGCGACATGAAGTTTTTTCTATCATTGAGAAAAAAGGTGACGTCAGTGGTTAATAATATTAGGAATTATTTAAAGAGCTTCGATGGCTCAGTAGTAAGCGTGCTAGTCTCCTAGCTGGAGAAACTTAAGGGATTGTGAGTTCGAATCCCATCGAAAATTATCGAGACTTTTTGTTGGAATGAGTACCCAGGATGCCAAAACACCACTTATCCGATTTTTAAAACAAATAGTCGATTCTTCTAGTGATTTTTAGACCTCCAGGGGCTTCCTTTTCGAAAGAAAGTCAACATCTGGACAGCTTATCAGATAAAGTCACTGTTTGTTATAAAAAGGTCGATACAGCGAGTTAGATGGTTTGTTGGAAAATATCTTTCTATTAAACTTAATAATAGCTGGGGTGTGCTTGAGACAATCGCCCGAGTCGTCCGAGGAGAACTTTGCAAGGACCTGCATGAAAGACTCGCATACTTAGGGGAAAAAAGATAATCGTAGGAAAGAAGGGAACAAAAAAGGTTAAAGATTAGGGACATAAGATGCGTTAAAACGCTGCATTAGGTATACGTAGAATCTAAATACTATATAGAGTGATACAACGCAGGGTGATAAAGGAGTGTGATCATAAGCATAGAGACACGCAATTATAGGAGAAAGAGTAAAGGTATGCTTTAGTACGCGTGTGACCTTGAACCACCAAACGCTGCTTTTGCGTTAGATTATGCGCATGCATGTGTTTTGTGTGTACGTTTACGAGGTTAGGAACTAAGCCCTGTAAAGGTAGAGGGGTCAGCGTAGCGGTCAGTATGTAGTTCTGTTGCAGCACAAAGGTACTGCTGTTCAGTAGTATGTTATTATCGTGCAACCTATTCATTTCGTGCAGATATTTGAAAAGATGTCGTTCGCACTTTTAAAAATACGCAGCCACTTATAGATCATAACTTTTAATTAATGTTTACTTTAATAAAAATTAACGTTAATGTATCGGTTACAACAAAATAAGCTTTTTCAGTCTGAAATAATATGTTTTCAACAAAAAATTTTTTTTTTAANAAAAAAAAAAAAAAAAAATCATCATGAACTAAGTAATATTTTGTATTAATACGTATAATCACGGAGGCTCGGGTGTATCATTCAGAAGCGCGAAAAACGGGGAGTCCCTCTGGCCTGCGCAGATGTAACCTCTTCACCGCGCATCTCCTCTTGCACTCTACAAACTTGAAACTGTACGATTGTAATTATATTTTTTTTTAATTCCTGGCAAGGCTTGATTTTTTTCGTCGAGCATCTTCCTTTTATACTAAGATTAAAAGAAAAAATTCATGTGCATGAATAATGTGCTCAAATATAACAAACATTTTTTGGCACGATTCTACATTTAAAACTTTTCTACTGAATCTTCTTGTGGAGGTTCGATACATATCATCGACAATGGTGGAGAGCTCTAATTTAGTTTTTGATTTATTGTATGTGTCATAAAATACAAACGTGAGTTCAGTAGGCGATATCAGCTATGCAATTATTCGTCATGAGACGCGAGGGAGAGGTTTTAGTTCCAGTTATTGCTGCATGATGCTTTTTTACATTGTAGAATATCGCTAAATTTTCGCGGTTTTCTTTTGGATACGTAGAATGGTAGAGGTTTTAGTTTCAACTTTAGCCACTTCATTTACTTTTGTAAGGACTCTTCGGCGCTGCGGAATTATAATCCTCTGATTTTTATTTTTATCCACACTAATTAAAGAGAAAATCATAATTTTTAAAATAAAAAAAAAACTTTTGTTAGGTTTTACAAAATTAATATATTTATACTATGAGGACCCTACAATCCGACAGATAGCGTACTGTAGCTAAGAGAAAATCACCTACAAGTATATATGTATACGACTAATATGTATAGATAGACTTGTTGGAGATTTTCTCTTAGCTGCAGTACGCCATCTGTCGGATGGTAGCGCCCTCATATATCTATTTTTAGATTCAGAAAAAAATTGATATGTTGTTCCTCTCAGTTGGTAGACTTATTAATATGTTTCAGTATAATAATACCATATTTTTTTGGTTAACTGACCTCGAAAATCACTTAAAATGGATAGTTAATGGATCAAAATCTAATTCT